AACTACAATGACATTTCAAAAAGAAAAGAAAATTATTTATTCTTTTTTTTTCCCCAACTCACCCTTTCTTTTTAGAAAGAGATGGGATGGGGCAAGGGCACAAATTCAGCTTCAGCCTCCAAAACACTGCTTGCTAAATTGCACTCTCTCTTAAATCATAGTAGCAGACGTGTTTCTGCATTACCAATATTGCCTTGACTCAAGCACACCTTGAATGTTTATGCTGGGCACAAATCTCATTATAAACTCTCTGCAAAGATTTTCTAAACAGAGACCTAAAAAGAGAAAGCAATAACGTAGATTAAAAACAAGCCCTTAGAATTTTCCAGTGAAGCATAACTCTCTGCCCATGCCCCCCCCCCAAACTTGTCACCCGATGAGAGCTTTGCACAAGATTCAGGATGGAAAGTACTGCCATGTGTTTTCACGAAAAGAGAGAGTTATGTACTACCTTCAGAGAATCCATGGTGTAGAGTATTAGATAAAGTTGTGGAGCATATGGTCTTTTGCTATACTTAAGTAGTTTGGTCAAGTTTACTCAGGCTGTTACTATCTTAGCTATTCATCTGTTTGTGTATGTGTACCTCTGTTTATCACGAAAGCTTATGCTAAATATCCCTTTTTGTCAACTGGATAGAAACCATTAGGGGATGCTTTGTATGATGTTCTGTTTGTAATCACTGACTGACTGTCCCTATACCTTGGTAGATCACCTGGACACAGACCTGGGAAGTGGGAATCTCTAGAAGTGGGACAGTCTAGAGAAACAGGTTTCTGAAAAAAATGATCATTATTCTGAGCTTTATGCATTGCCATCTCTTGTTCAGATGTATTTTTCATTCCTTGCACGTCTTGGCCAAAGAGATGCCACTGGGAATTGGGTTCAGATGAACAAGGGAGCAGAACTAGATATCATAGTCCAAGATGGGTAGGAGGGCTAATGCTGTTCAGTACCTTTCTCAAAAAGCTCCCAAAACTGACTAGGGCCTGCTGGCTCTTGCTTGGCTTAGTTGACCAAATTCAGATCAGTAATGAGATCTAGTTCAGCTTTCCCCTAGTATGCTAATCAGGAGGGCATCATGTTGGAGAACACTGTCCTTAAAGGCTTCATTTGCCTAATTTGCTTAAGAATTGAATTGCCAGATGCAGAGGAGGTAAAGTATTGGAGACTTGCTGCTAGAGATTTGATTTTGCTTAATTTAAAGGACTTCTGGGTCTGTCACTCTTCAGTTCAAGCTATCTTAGAGCAGCTTTTTTTTTAACCTACTGTATTTTGTCTAAATTAATCCCATATTTCATTATACTTGTCCATACGAAGTCTGTGTCTGTAGGCAATTCGCTCATAAGTGTCAAGTGCAATCAGGTCTTCAATCCATTGAATAAATGGGGCCATACATTTATCTTTCAATGTTGCAATATCAGTCTTTTGGCCATAGTAAGGGCACGGAGAATCCATTTATGTTGTCCAGTTATCAAGTTCCACGTACTAGGTATATAGTTCAAAAGAATATTATCCTCTGAAAATTTTAGCTTTCGTCGCACAATCATATTTATATTGTCCACTACTTTCTCCCAAAAGTTAGGGAGGAGTTATAGGACATTGTAAAAACATATGCTTTAAAGAGGCATTGTCCTTATTACATTTCCAACAAAATGCTGTTTTTGACAGTTCTTTTCTATACAGAAGTAGTGGAGTTCAATAGATTCTAAATATTATTTTTTGTGGTATAAGTCATAGTTTAAGGTCCATTGACACTCTTGCTATAGAAGTTAAGACACTCTCCCATAGGCAATATAGAAACCTCTAATTCCTTATTCCACTCATCCCTTAACATCTGCATATCAAATTGATTTATTGATAACAAATATCTATAAAAGCTAATCGTTTTTTCAGTTCTAAAGGATTTAACAAGGTGTTCTAGTATCTCTGGTGTCTCAGAAGCTGAAAATGCTGCTGGTCCAAACAATGTTGTTAACAAATGTTGTAACTGTAAATATTGGCATTGGGTTGCATCTGATAGATGATATTTATCTCTTAACACAGAATACATTAAAAATTCATCTTCATCATCTATCAGTTGGTCCAAATCCCCACTTCCATACAATTTTTGCATATCACCATCTTTTTCCCATTTTTAAAGTTGGGTTTCCATTCCCCATAAAGTCAGTTTGGCATGGGAAAAAGGGTCAAATCTTTTTTTATTAGACATTATGTTCTGTAGCTTTCTAACTGATGAAATTGTTTCCAGAGATATTAGAGTTTTAATATATTTAGATCCTAATACTGTCCATCCAACCAAAGGTGTTACATATGTGTATTCCAAAATTGCCCAAATCGGAAAATTAACACCACTTGTTGGCTTCCAGTATTTAATAATTGACAATAGGTAAGTATGGTGATATAACTCCAGATTCAGAAGACCGAATCCTCCCTCATTAATTGATAATTGTATTTTTTGTAAAGATCTTCTCGGAACTGAAGAACCCCATAGAAATTTTCTAAACAAAGAATTTATTTTCTGAAAATATTT